TTTTTTATTAGTAATTCAACGCCAGTTTTATTTCAAATAAATACACTCACCCATTTATATAATACACGCCGGAGTTATTCAATTTACACGTTTAGATAGCAACTTATTAAAATACAATGTTCCGCATACAAAACACGGTGAAAGGGTTAATGAGATTATGTTACCTGATGTAACACCATTCTATTAACTAACTTCCCACATTTGAAACATGAACACCACGCGAAAGGTAAAAGAATTTCACTCCTGTAATCGATTCGATTTAAAAGAAGGCTGGCTGCCATTTCGCGAGGAAGGAAACCTATGGCAATAAATGAAAAATCAAGCAAATCTATTTTATCACGCACTTTCGTCCGTCGCGTAACAAGAGGCAGGAAGTATCTGTCGGTAACAGACTTCATTTCCCTATAATAAATGATTACGGAAACAAGACGTGGCCAAAGAAACACGTTGCGAGACGTTCTATCGAACGAGATGCAGGAAACAAACGCCTCCTGTATCTTTCTTCCTTTTCTTCTCTTTCGCTTCTTAACGACACGGTCAATAAAGTTTTCTCTTTACTGCCCTTTTTCTTCTCTCGTTCCTTTCTTCATGTTCTTTTCTTCTTTTCTTTCAGTACAATAGCGTGATCAACGATATGCTGGCGGTGTACAACGATGCCAGTATTTGTGCGTACAACGATCCTTTCCGGTGCGGGCTGCGACTCTATCCAGGTAATGAATAACTAAGAATTGGATCAAGTCCAGTATATAGACTTGATTCAAGCCAGGGTCGATATCAAAGTTTCGTAAATTTATGGATAATGCTACTGGAAGAGTAGAAATACTTTTTATGAATACACTTATTGTACAATGAATTCGTTTTCGGATCCTAGAATGGGTATCTACTCATTATATTAGCTCGATATTTTATTAACACTATCCAGGTAATGAATAAGTAAGAATTGGATCAAGCCCAGTATATAGACTTGATTCAAGCCAGGGTCGATATCAAAGTTTCGTAAATTTATGGATAATGCTACTGGGAGAGTAGAAATACTTTTTATGAATACACTTATTCTACAATGTATTCGTTTTAGGATTCCAACTGTTTTCGGATCCTAGAATGGATATCTACTCGTGATATTAGCTCGATATTTTATTAATACTATCCAGGTATGAATAACTAAGAATTGGATCAAGCCCAGTACATAGACTTGATTCAAATCAGGGTCGATATCAAAGTTTCGTAAATTTATGGATAATGCTACTGGAAGGTAGAAATACTTTTTATGAATACACTTATTGTACAATGTATTCGTTTTCGGATCCTAGAATGGGTATCTACTCATGATATTAGCTCGATATTTTATTAATATTAGAACAGACTTTAGATTTTCTTTTTCTACATATTTTTTACAACTACTTAAAAGATATAAGGTTTTTTTCTGTCAAAATTAACATTGATTTCTGTTTAGATAAAGACACAGTGTGAAAGTCTATTTATTTTAATTGTCATCGTTTAAATTGTAATGATTTATAGTGAGAATATTTTGAAATTTCGTTGTTCCAATATTAAATATATTATTAAATTACCAAGCCAAATTCGTACCTCATAAGTATCGTATATTTCATATGTACAACAGACAAAAATATTGTACATAACAAATTTTAAAAAGATACTGTAAAGAGGAGGTTTCAATCTTTAAATCCATAACAGATTCGATTGTAAAAAAAATTTTTTTGAATGTTTTTACACATCATGCAAGTTAGCAACATTTTCGGATAGCAAAAAGATGTTTGCTACATGATGCAAGAACATTTCAGAGAAACATTAACGATACATTGCAAAAATAAAGATTTCACGATATAAAATGAGCCCTAGATAATTGTTCTACAATTTTTTTCTATAAATATTGGAAGATTAAAAATTGTATGCGTGTTTAATAATTCTGAATGTTTTCTTGTAGACGAATTATAAATTCCAGAATGCCAGAAAATTCGGAGTTCTAAACCATGCAGTTCTAAGTTATGTGAACCATTTGTAGATACTCAGTAATATTAATACATCTATATTCTAAAATTTGAAAATTTAAGATTATACAACTTTGATGTAATCTTAAGTACATTTTCGATATCAGTGTCTCTGAAAGCGATCTTATTCACGAGTTTCATTCATTCAGTTTTCTTCTAATGGTATCGCGTTGCGTGTGCTTAAGCAGCAATTTTCCATGCAGAAATCGTTTTCAAAAACCGATTAGATTAGCCAAATGTTCAAGAATTGTTACGTATTTTTCCATGCGTGTTACGTGTACGTTATTACCAAGTGACTCTCGATCGAGTAAATGAACCGTGAAGCAAGCAGAATCGCACGATCGGACGATCGTAAACTTCCGTGTTTCTACGTTGCTGTTTGGGCGTTGATTGACTCCCGCGGCTCACGAGGCATCATTTACTATAACCAGATGCTCGAAAAACATAATACATCATGTAACACGAGAGAAAATCGCTCCTCCAGAAGATCTGAAGGAACGATCTGGAAGATCGTTTCGTCTCAAATAGAAATTAATCCTGTTAATCCTCTGGAAAGAGAAACGATCTTACAAACAGTTACATTGAAAAATTTACTCTTTCTTTTGATACGAGATCTATCATAACAATGGCTTCCATGATCGATCTTCCTCATTAAAGGAAACAGAAAAAAAAAAAAATCTGTAAGAAAACTTCACCGCGAATAATCCAGCCAAGAGAAAGAAGATAGGGAAATTGAAGAGGAGCATCGCGAGGGGGAGACACTGCGAATTAAATTGCCATGAATTTTCATGAAGTCCCCTCGGACCCCTTAGCAACGTGTTTCAACGCAGAACGTTGAAATATTCATCGTTCGATCGCGCTTTACGATTAGAGAGGCACTTTCTTGCGCGTAACAGCGGCCGTTTACGCGCACTGTGGCAATTTCGCCTGGCTGCCAGCCGTGAAAATCGCATCGTCGTTCATTTTCCACGAGTTCGGACGATTCTCGAATTCTCGGGCGTTATTCGTTGCAAAGAGATGGGATCGACGTATACGTCCGAAGTTTCAATCTTTGGATTTTACAAGTATTTCCAATAGTACTTGCAAGTATACTCGAATCTAGACGAGATAGTTTCGAGTGTTTCAGGAAATGAAAACAGAACTTCCAAGTAGACACAGATAGAGATTGATTCGAGTATTTCGCAAGTATACTTTTTTTTTTTGCTGAACAAAGTTCCCGTTTATACAAATAGGAATATTTATACTGAGATAATGGAAAAGTATGCTCCTGTTTTTCTATACGCGATTTTCAAAAAAAAAAAAAAAGAAAAAAAAAGGGACAGGAACATGTTTCTCTATTACTATGTCAGTAGAAACGTCAGTCTGTTTCTTCATCTTTGATTCATATCGTGAATAACCGCAGATTTATTTAAATTACACGTATGCAGATTAACTCTTTAAACGGTTGCGATATAACCAGTAGCTTTCCACGATGCTTAGGTCACACGTGTCGCAAGATACCATAAAATCAAATCGATCGCACGATCAGTGTGAAAGCTGCTCGTGGTGAAAATCTCTAGTTGAACGAAGGCAGGATTCTGTAAATAGAAGGACTTGTTCATCATCTCGCGGATAAAAATATTTATTTCGAAATAACGTTGTTTTGCAGATATATCGCAAATTATGGCGAGAAGCCGCAATTGGGACGAATTGCAATATATTTGGGCGGAATGGAGAAGACGAAGTGGAATGAGAATCAAGGATCTTTATCAACAACTCGTTACGTTAAACAATGAAGCAGCTAGGCTAAACAGTATGTATAAAAACCAGCGTTACTTGTTTCTTAAATTTAACTTTTTTTTTTTCTAATTTTTTATTATTTCTAATTTGAATTTCTAAATTCAATTCATAAAGACTAAATTTATATTATATAATTTATATAATTCATATTATATCATATTATACATGTAATTATAATTTAATAATAATATTTAATATGGCAGATTCATATATTAAAATTTATTTTTTTACTAAAATATGCTTATATTTCAAGATGCAAATTCAAATTTCACTTTATTTGAAACATTATTAGAAAATTATGGGCATTAAAACTTGTAGTCTTATCGAAGAAAAATATATTTAGACAGGTAATTATCAAAAAATGTATCAATGTGTAGATTTCACCGATGCAGCCGAATATTGGATGTTCCCCTATGAGTCTCCTAATCTGCAACAAGACATCGAGGAAGTTTGGGAAATGATACGTCCTCTTTACGAAGAGTTACACGCGTACATTCGAAGGAAATTGAGGGATTTGTATGGACCAGAGAAGATCGGCACTCATGCTCCTCTTCCAGCTCATATTCTTGGTATTGGCATGATTTTCAATCCATTTGATACAAGTGATTAACTGGTTTTTGTTGGTTCTAGTTGTGAAATATTCGTTTTAATTTTTAAAATGTGCACTTTGTATTTTAAACACTTTATTCCATAGTTCACATTTCAAACTAAATGATTTTTTTTCATTGCAATCGAAAAACTTATTAAACATCTGACAACGTATTAAAAATATGTGACAATGTATAAATCGTCACTCGCGAGTGAGTTAATGCTATTGTTGAGATTAATATATGAGATTAATAGATGAGATTTAATTAACAGGTAACATTTGGGCACAGTCGTGGACCAACATAATCGACATCACAACACCGTATCCAGGAAAATATTACCTAGACGTGACGCAGGAAATGCAGGCACAGGTAAAAGTTACACATTATATAATCCTTATCAGGAGAATTAACTTCGACAAGCTAATGAATTCAGTCTGGTACGACTATTGTTTCCAAGTAGAATCGAAAGTAACCTGTTACGATTCGAAAGTGACGGCGAAGTAAATGAAGATTCGAGAGAAATACAATGTTTCTCCCGTTTATTTCCATTTGGGGTTCTCTGGTTCTCCTTTCTCCTCCACTCCATTCATCGTTCGTTATGCGATTCTTAGAACTTCGAACCCCCCTATCACGCACGAAAAATATCGAATCCTCTTCTCATCTATGAACAATACCGGTCGGCTTTGATTTCTATGATTTCATATGATTGGCTCTTGTTTGTGCTTCGCTATATCCAATTACAATCGTTCTTTTGATTTCTTGCGTTTGATCCACCTTCAATTAGACTTTCACACTGCGTTTCTACATGAATTTATTTTCGTACTGCGAGATAAGCTTCCCTGCAAGAACACGTTCGTAGAAAATAATTAATCTTAGTTAGCTCGCCTATCATGGATTATCGCATTGATATGAACGAGAGATTGAAACGAAAATTGTCTTGATAATTCATTCAGGGTTACACACCTATTGAGATGTTCAGGATCGCGGAGGAATTTTATCTGTCCTTGAACCTGAGCGCGATGCCGCCGGAATTCTGGGCCGGAAGTATAATCGTGGACCCTGGGGATCGGCCCTTGATCTGCCAGGCTTCCGCTTGGGACTTTTGCAATCGTTTAGACTACAGGTGAATTAATCAATACGTAGACTGCGGATATTTATGCAAATATTATGCGTTTTCATGATAAGTGATAGATAAAGAAGTAAAACTCAAACGAAAGAATTCTTGCACGCATTTGCATGTTAACACTGTAAATGAATAAATGTCTGTTACCTAGTTGTAAAAACTAGATCGATAAGCTAATGAATTTGATACTTTTTCAGAATTAAAATGTGCACCAAGATCACAATGAAGGATTTAATCACGGTGCATCACGAGATGGCTCACATTCAATATTTTTTACGCTACAGTGGATTGCCTCGTGAATTCAGAGACGGCGCCAATCCAGGTAATTAATATTAATACAATGATTTTTATTAACACTCGGACAACACGTTGTTCAGACGATTATTTCTTTATGTAATCTTATTGAATTAATTGCGTTTTAATATATTGCAAAAATTATTTTTACAACGAGAATAAATTCTATTGCTTTGTCATAATCAATAATTAATTAATTTCTGACAATACTACTTATAATAATTATTCTAGTTGAAAAAGCACAAATTTTATTAATCTTGTGCAGTTTTTAATCGCAAAAATATTC